ACGAATAACAAAGAAGATTCACATTGAATCAATACCTATATCTCTTTTTTTTCCTGTTTAATTTCTATGAGATCATTATGATTAATGCGGATTGTCTTAGATAATTCGGTCATACTGAAGATTTATTTTATCAAAACAGCAAACATGATTTGATAACGTATGGATTCCAATTTTAAATGAAATAAACATTTTCTCTTAGTACGTACATTTTCATATATATTCATGAGCAATTGAATTATATTTCTTTATACCGAATACATGAAAAATGTAAGCAAAGAATAAAAATCGTAGTTTCATTTCTTAACAGTGATAGTAATATCATAAATCAGCTTTTGTTATAGAGCAATATTGTAACGAAGGTTGCCCTCTTCTTATTATCTCGTTTTAATTGATGTATTACTCTTATTGTTTTATTCTACTTTGATACATCATGTGATACTTTGTTCTCATCTTATTTTTTTCTTTTCTTTCGTTTTCTCTGATGGATGAGTTTTATTGTTGTATTCTTTGTATGAAAACGATGTGATTCTTAATAAGAAGAAATACAATAAAGTGTAATACTATCAGAAATCGTCATAAATATTTATATAGAAAAGTTTTGTGTTAAATCCACTATATTTATATAATCTAATTATTTATTTTGCATTATTAGCCATTTGATAGAAGTTTTACATATTTGATTTAGTTCTTTTTTTTGTATGTGTTGAACTGATTTAAATATAAACATCTACGTTTCATTTCTATTGATTCAGATAATCATATAAATTTTAATATGAATGTGAAAGTAAAAGTTTATTCTATCTGCCACATTTTGTTAGATAGTACAACGTTACAAAATGCATTTTAACAATCAATTGATTTCATAATAGTCAAAAAAATTCGTATTATTAATGGTTTTGTTTTTGTTTTGTAATAATGTGTTCTAGTAGTGAACACACCTACACCCTCAACACTTTTTTGTCTTCTTTACAGATGTTTTATTCAATGATCTATTTGATCAATTAAACAAACTCTTTTTTAACTTTTATTTTATCATCAGATACTAGTTAATCGCTCTCTTTTTTCAAAAGGTAATACAAATAAAAAAAAATAACAATAAAAATCCATTATTTCAATCATATTCTCTTCCGTTTTTTGTCTGTTTCACGTTTCTTTTCAGCTTCTTTTGCAACAATAGCCTATATCAAATAAAATTCAAGTCATTATTTTTCTTTTTAATCAGATCAAAAGAAATATTATAAAAATAATTACCTTATCAACAGCAGGTATGAGAGCACCGTGTGTTGCATATGCTTTCACTAATTCAACAATGAAAGGTAACCAATTATGACGTCGACGTAAGTTTTCAATCTGTTATAAATGATTTAATTGAGTAGAATATAATAATACAAATAAATAAATAAATAAATAGAACTAACTCGATATGATTCTCTTTTTCGTTCTTCTTCATGAATTAACATTGATAAATGTGATGTTTTTGCATTTCTTTCATCATCAGTTAAAGCAGGATCTATAACAATGAAAATATTAGAAAATGATCTTCGCATCTATGTATTATCAAGCTTATAATTACCAGCTAGTACTTGTTCCAATTCTCGTTCATATTTTCTACGAAGTTCACTAACAACAGCCATTAAACTGAAATGAATTTCACCTTCACTATATCTTTAAAAACAAAATCAAAACATTCGTTATATAAAAAAAAGACAAAAAAAATAATTTTTTTTTCTTTTACTTTTGCATACGTTGTTGAACAATGGGTCGGGCAGTATCAGTCCATTCAGCATCTTTTGAAATAGGACCATGGTCAATAGGAGCCTTGATACAAAGAAGATAATACTGTTGTTAGTCACAATTATTTTTTTTTTATTCTTACTTCTTGTAAACCATCAAGTTCATATAAACGACCTTTAAATGGAATATAAGCAATGAAATGAAATGCATCTTCTTCTTTCTTTTCATCACGAGAATCAAATTCAAATAACTGTTGTCTAAGAAAAATAAAGTAAATATTAATTGTTTATAAATTACATAAATAATAGAAAACCTTGCGAAACTATTGTGTACATCACGAATTTTATCACTATTTGATAAAGTTAGACCTCGCATCTATTTATTAAAAAAATATAAAAATCTTCGAAATATGTCTTTTAGCATACTTGTGGATCAAATGCTTGAGCAAAATCTTTAAATTCACCTAATGTTGAACCAAGTTTCAGATCATCATGAGTACAATTTAATAATACTGATACAATAGCTTGTGTTGCACATGCATTTGTTATAACCTATAATACGAATGAATACATTGTTCTTATGAGAAAATATCATACTTGTCTAGCAAAAAATATTTCATCTAGACGTGAATCTTTAACCATATTAGCAGTTGATGAATCAGTTTGTTGCCATTTAAACAAAAAGATCAATCCATGACATGGCCTAACAAATGTTATTTCTTTAGAAATAAACAGAGTAAAAAATCGAATATCATACTTCATTTGTTCTAGACTATCATCATCAAGCGAGAAGATTTCTTCGACTTGAACACCATCAGCACCTAAAATGATTCAAAATAAAAACTAATCATTTTTATATAAAGCTTTGTTTTTTTATACCGAATCCATGAATAAGATCAGTAAATACACCAGGATCTGATTCAATTAAACACCATTCACCTGAAGCCATACTTTATTAAACCAATATATAAAATAATCTAGAATAATTATACAAAAAAAAGAAAACAAACATAACAGTTTTTCTTTTAAAATCTTTTCTATATTTGTTATATATTTATATATATATATATTTCAAAGAATTCACAAGCTAGGAATCGTCTATATCAGCTATACCACGTAATTCTTGACGTGCATGAGTCCATTTTTGAATAAGATCTGTTGGTAATGTTTTTGCTGGTTTCTATAAAGGAAATAAAATATTGATTCTTAAAACAGTTGGGTTCATATCTTTACAGATTTTTTATCTTTGTGATGATGTTGATGATGATGTGGTTGTTGTTCAGATTTTGTGATAGTCGATGGTTTCTCCATATCACATATCGAAGTTGGCTGTTCAGGTTGATCACAATTAAGTTGAGCATAGAAAAGTTGTAAGGTTTTATCATCTTCAGTTGAGGATGATAGTGGAGGCGGACTTGGTGGTGGTGGAGGTGGAGGAAGAGAAAGTAGAAGTGCCATTTCACTCGATGTTAATGGTGGTTTTGATGGCTCTGTAACAATTCTAAATTGAGATCACAAAAAAAAAGGATACTGTATTGAATATATTCAATGAGAATAGTAACATACGGTGGAGAGGCGATAGTTGGATGTGATTTTTCAAATTCTTCGATTTGTAATAAAGCTTCATCTAATTTATTAACAGCATACAATTTAGATAGATAACCAGCAAGACAATCTTCTAGACGTGTCTAAAATAAATAATCAATTAGATTAGTCTATAAAAATGTGATTTGTTTTTACTTCTAATTGAATTCGTAAAGTAAAAATCTCGGCTGTTCTATCACTTAAATCAGTAAGACGTGCAATAGCAGCTCTATAATCTGTTTCAAATAATGGATATAAATCAATTTGTTGAACTTTGTTATCCACTTTTTCTTCTTTTTCTAATACTTCATTTAAAAGTTCATCAATCTCGTCGATATTTTCTTCATCATCATCCTCCGTACTTTCACTATCTGATGATGGATATTCAGAAATAAAGCTTGGTTTTTTAAGTTTTTTCATTGATTGTATATCAGTTGTTATTTGTTGACGTTTTTTCTCTAGAGATAAGATATGTTTAACAGTAATTGAAACAAAAAATAATAATCTTACGATTTATTCCATCGATATCTGTTGAACTAAATGAAAAACAATACTAATTAGATTCGGATTGAAATGATAAAATATACTAACTTATGAGATATTTCAGTAACATGATTTTGTAATCCTGTGGGAGGTGGATCCCATGAACATTCATTTGTTTTTATATTCCAATAATAGACTGATTGTGTTGTTTCATCAAAACATTGTTTCCATTCAGATTCTTCATCATTATTAGTATTTGATTTTTTACCAAGAACAATCTCATCAATATCCTTGAAAAAATATATAAATATTTTTATAAGTAAAATAAAATACAATAACATACTGCCATAAAATCTGCAATTTTTGAATCGATATCTTCTTTACGATTCTTTCCAGATTCATTATTGATTCCTAAATATTATTCTTGTTAAAATTGATATCTATATTAAGATTAAATCTAACCTGTTAATAATTCACTCATACTAATTTTAGTTCATTTATAGATATGTGCTTTTTCCAACTGATAATATGTCTAAATATGAAATAAAACTATCAATAATTAGTAATCATTAAAATAGAAATACAATAGAAAGTTTATTATAATTTATGAGATACGATCTATGTACCTTAGACACAAGACGTAGATTGATATAGTCGATGAGAAGAAAAAGAAAGACTGTACATTTACTTCTGTCTCTATATATTGGATACAAACAGATAATAAAATCGATTTATTCAAAATAAATGAAAAAGAAAACAAATATAGCAATAATCGATTAGTCACACTCATAATTGATGACTACAAGATTTCTTTTGATAAACAGTACTTCTGACGAAGTCCAAATCGAAGTGTCATAATGTTGATATAACCTAAAATAAATTCAACGATAGATAGAATATTATTGATATTTATAATAGTAATTCTATTGAATGGATTAACTTCTGAAACAAAGTTAACCTACTTTAAATTTATACAAAAGAAAAAAAGAAGTTGTTCTTTTTCCCATTTTCTGATAGATGTATGCGTAACGAATCTCCTTTACTTACCAGCCAGATGTCACTATAAGACAAGATCAATCGTTGATATTTTATCAGTATATTCATCTCAAATATATATATATCTTTCTAAATTTACTATTTTATTTATAATACAGATACATCTTCAACAAATATAGAATGGATAGAATATAAAGTCTACTGAATTTGACCGGAAAATTGTTACAGTCTGACGTTTTAATTTTTATTTAGTTTATGAAGATAAATTGTCCAATTATTAATAGACTCATATATACATCGATTTCTTGTTCTCTTCAGTTGATAACTAGATGGCATCGCGACAAGTCGAAGATGCAGGTTACGGTGCAAAGCAGTTCTCTAAATCTCGATATCGAAAGGACGATTTGGAGGTTTTCATAGATTTCCAAACATTCAGAATTATTCTAGAATCGAATGAAGTTTATATACTTTCACAATACAGTTGACACTAATTCAACATACTAGAAATTCATCTACATTAAGAATTTAAAGTACGTATGTCGAAAGAAAACTTATGACTCATTTTCTTGAGGGCGCGGGTAGATAAAGAGAAGAGAGATCCATAAACGATTCAAGGGGACGAATGACTCTGCATAAGACAGTTATCTTTAGTCAATATTTCAAAGTTAGCAGTAGTTTCGGGATGAGTGTGGTAGTTTTGTTCGAGTGTAGTTGAATTTTTAACAGATAGCAGGAAGAAAGTACATTAAAGTATCAGGCTAGCTGATTAAGCCTATATATATCAAACTATCTTAGATGTTTTCCACTAAATACATTATTCACAGTAGTAAATGCAGATATATTATACCCTTAAAACTATTGAACGACATTATGAAAACGCATTTCCTTTATTAACTAGTAGATTGTTCACATACCTCACTTGGATTTGCATTCTTTGGAAATTAATATTAGTGGCATTTCTCAACACACCATTACTTTTCCACTTGATTATGCAAAACCTTATGAAGTCGTATAGTATCAGTTGAGATTATTTTTCGAAATCATCTTAGATAGGAAACAGAAACAATATTCATTATAGTACTCATTTGTGATGAACATCAGTTCAAGTTTTAGTTTTAATGAGAAGATATTTGAAACTAACTGTTCTATCTCGACAGGCTACGGGTCCAAATGAAAGTGAAACCAGGTTACATGATACCACTATTTTGCAATGGTTGATTCTAAACTTGTTACAAATTTTTTTCTAAGACTAAAAAAATATGAGAACATTGCTTAGATTTCATGTATCAGCAATATGGAGTGTTTTTGCTTATTGTTGAGAAGACACTGTTCTAGTAGAAGTAATGGTTGACTGATGTTAAAACAATATTATTTAGTTAGACATAAGAAAATAACATAACTAAATGCGATAGTACTTTTAACCATGAACAAAACTATTTTGAATGAAGGGTTTTTATTCTTATAACATAGTTCCATAGTAAACGCTGTATTCTATTGATAAATACTTGATGATTAAGCTAATCATCGAGAAAATCTCGAACAATTTTGCAAAACTAGAACAATAATATATAGTTGAGCGGTATTGAATACAGAATCTTTCTAAGTTCAGCATTATTAAATACAAACTGTTTCTTTCTCAAAATTGTTCGACAATACGCACTTGATAGTTCAGCATCATCGGGCAGAATCCTGCGTCAGCATTCCTCCAAAGAACTTTTTAGGGTTTTACTATTATCAGAAAGAATCTTTTATCATTTAAGGTGACTCGGAACGATCTTTCAGAAATATGCTACTACCCTATAAAACCTTTTGACTGATTCCAACTGAAAATAACTCTCTAGAATTGTAGTATTGCTATGCACAATCAGTCTAGTTTAGCACATACTACAGAGTGACAAAATATTCCTGGAAAATCTATGTGTCTTTTCTCAGGCTTCATCCTTCCACCACATACCGAAAAACGTAAACAAAATTTATCATGAGAATCCACATTAACTTTGAAAATCAACACTTATTTATTGTTTTTCCGAATATTGCAACACAATAAAAATATACGCAATGTTATCATTCGCTACCAGAAATTCAAAGATTATATCACTAGCTTCAGTACCGATCCTATTCCTCGTGGAGAGTTAGTGTGGTGAGTGTCTAGGTGAAATAGTGTAAGTAAAGACATGATATAGATAAAGAGAGAAAGACATTTACTGTGTTGTGGTGTAATCCATCGATCAAAGCTTCTGCTGCATCATATCCGATTCTATTGTGGGAGAGATCTAGTATGGCGAGTGTCTAGATGTAAAAGTGTAGGTAAAGACATGATATAAATAAAGAGAAAGACATTTACTGTGTTTTGTTGTAGTCCATCAGCCAAATGCTGTGCTCCCACATCTCCGATTCTATTCTCAGCGAGATCTAGTGCGTTGAGTGTCTACATAAAAAGGTGTAAGTAAACAAATGATATAGACAAAGAGAGAAAGACATTTACTGTGTTATGTTGTAATCCAATAGCCAGATATTGTGCTCCGGCAGCGCTGATTTCATTTCTCGCAATATCTAATGTGATGAGTGGCTGAATGAAAAAGTATAAGTAAAAGCATGACATAAGCAAAAAGAGAAAGATAGTCACTGTGTTGTGTCGTAGTACATCAGCCAAAAATTGTGCTCCGACATCTCCGATTTCGTTGCGCGCGAGGCTCAGTTTGGTGATTGCCTATATGACAAAATATAAGTATAGACATGATATAGATAAAGAGAGAAAGATAGTTACTGTATTGTGCTGTAGTCCATTAGCCAAATGTTGTGCTCCAACATCTCCGATTTCATTGTACCCGAGATCTAGTGTGGTGAGTGTCTATATAAAAAAAAGTGTAAGTAAATACATGATATAAATAAAGAGAAAATGACAGTTACTGTGTTGTATTGTAACCCATGAGCCAAATGTTGTGCTCCAACATCTCCGATTTCATTCGACCCGAGATCTAGTGTGGTGAGTGTCTAGATGAAAGAGTGTGCGTAAACAAATGATAAAG